AAAAAAAAAATCACCAAAACATCGTGGCTTTAAGATTTTTTGTATTCAATTCGTTCTACTTTCACATCATCTCCAATTAGCTGATAGACATAAGTGACCACTGTAGAAGCCTGGATATCCATCAACACAAATGAGGGAATAATATTTCTGGAAGAAAAAAAATAATGTGTTTTGTACTAAAAAGCAATAACTATAAATTTCAATTTAAGATAAGTTGGACTCGAGAAATCTGATTCTTACTTGCATATTAAAGAGAAGAATTACCAAAAAAGAACAGAATGATTTAAAAGGTTACAATTCTTTTTTATGAAACATCACACATGTAGTTGTTAACTTTCCCAAAGCCCCCTAGTTTCCAAACTGTTATCTACTTACGTTTCCAAGGCATTATATGCTCCAGTGGCAGAACCTGGGTTGATGTAGAATTTATTTTCATGCTCAAATGCTTCAAATTTGTGTGTATGTCCTGAGATAAGAATGTCCACATCAAACTGCCTCTGCAACAGGGCCAAGCTGGCCATGTCTCCCCATGGAATAACTTGATGTCCATGGATCAAACCAATTTTGAATTGTCCCACTGTCACAACTTTCTGTTCTGGGTAATTCAGGTTCTAACATAAGAAACAGATGTAAAGAAAATAAGTACTTTATAGATGATGATGTTAAAAATTTTGTTTACTCATCATATAGATGTCTTGATTAAGAGTATCCCACAAAAAGCACATTTATAAATATTTGACTTCTCAATCTAAGACTGCAACTATGCTTAAAACAATATATTCAATGTAAATTGGAATTTACACAGCAATCCCTTTACTGTGTTTATTTCTATAGAACACGGGTTCTTTTGAGCATGTTCTAAATAATATTACCCTGCACTTCTGAGTTTCTTCAACCTAAAACCTATGACCTATTAAGTATGTTCAAATGATATCCCAGGCTTTACAGTTATCCCCATTTTATGAAGAGGAAGCAGAGGCACAAAAAGTTAAAATAACTTGTCCAAGGTTACATGCCAGTAAGTGGTTGAGCTGAGCTACAGACTCTGGTAGCATGGCTCCAGGGTTTGTGAATTTGACAAATTAGAAATTTAATTCTTATTAAACTCTCCTTAACGTAACACAGATAGAAACCATATTATGTTTTAATAAATGAGATATGTATTCTAATTAGCAAGAAGTTTATCCTCCCTATTTCCCTGGTTTTTCACCTCTATACCACCTCGTTTATCCAAACTCTTTTTTTTTCAAACCTGCTAAAAATAATGTAATACTATGTTCATTTGGTTTGTATCCTGTTAAAGAGCACTAAGTTAAGTAATTTATGAAAAGCTTATATTACCAGTACAAAATAAAATTTTCATATTGGAATCAGGTTTATTATTCTGAATGTACAATGTTAACACTGGCAGGGATTTTTAAAAATCAACTATTCTAATCATGTTTGTTTATGAAAGGTCATAAGGGGAAGTAATTTGTCAAAAACCTCATTATTAATAATAGGCAAAGGTGGAATTCCAAAACTCCTTACTTTTTTTTTTTAAATCAGGTTCATTGAGGTAAAATTTACATACAGTAAAATCATTCTTTTTAGTGTACAATGGGTTTTAACAAATACACACAGCTGTGTAATACCAACAAGTGCAAGATACAGAACAGTTCTCTCCCTCATAACCCCTTTGTGCCCCCTAAAATTAACCCTGAGAAAGGGAGCCAAGGGACAGTTGTCAGCAGAGTAGTGAGGGGATCTTACCTCACTTAAAAAGGATCTTTCTAGGGAAAAAAGGGATAAAGGAGAACTATGGAGGGGTGAATTCAACTATGATATATTTTTAAAACTTTTGTAAATGTCAACCCCCAGTATAATAATAATAATAAAGAAAAAGAAATCAAGGGGAAAAAGAAGGATCTTTCTTGGTTCAAGTGATAGAGTGCATGCCTAGTAAATGCAAGGCCTGGAGTTCAAAACCCTCATCCCCATCTCCTCCCCCAAAAGGATCATTCTGGTTGCAACTTGGAGAACAAACTGAAGGAGAGGACAGAATCAGGAAGATGGAACAAAGGAAAGTAATGTGGTAGCTTGGTATGGGGTTAATAGAGGGTGGTAGTAAGTGAGAAGATCATGATGAAAAAAATTGTAAACTAAGTGATGGTATCACAAAAAATAGTCACAAAGCGACTTTTACTATTGCTTTATTTGGTTATTTAGTTAGAACAAGTATTTAATGTTTACTGGGTGATCTAAATCAGTGACTTTCAAACGGGGGTGGGGCAAGTTGAGTATCACTAAATTAAAAATCCAAAATCTGAAGTACTCTAAAATCCATAAATTTTGAGTGTCCACACAACACAAATGGAAAATTCCATACCAGCAACCTGTTGGGCTGCAGTCAAATGCAGGCATAACAGCGAGGCATGGTGGCACATGTCTGTAAACCCAGCACTTGGGAGCCAGAGGCAGGAGGATCTCAAATTTGAGGCCAGCCTGGGTTACACAGCAAAAATCTTGTCTCAAAAAATTAAAGGAAAAAGGCAGGTATACTAAAAATACTGTGTAAAATTACCTTTAAGCTACATATACAAGATATACATGAATGAAACATAAATGAATTTCATGTTTAGACCTGGGTCCGATCCCCAACACTTCTCACTATGTATATACAAAAAAATCCCCAAATTAGAAAAAGTCCAAAATCCAAACCAAAGTGCTTAGGCTAATGGATACTTGACCTATAATTTTATATTTTGAAAAAAATTTTTTGTGTGGTGTTAGGGATTGAACACAAGGGCCTTGTGTTCTACCACTGAGCTACAGCCCCAGAAAGTTTTTTCCCCTTGGAATGTTTTTTAAAAGAGAGGAAAAGAAAAAGACATTAGCAGTTGAGAAACCTTAGTGTAAAAGGTAAAGTTTTGCTGGCAGAATGGCTCAAATAGTAAAGTGCCTGCCTGGCAAGCGTGAGGCCCTGAGTTTAAACCCCAGTACACTAAAAAAGAAAAAAAAAAAAAAAAGAAAAAGTTTATATAAGAATTAAGAAAGGGAGCTATATGGAAAAGGAAATGGAAATACATCACCTCATCGAAGTCTCCTCTCACAATGTGAACATCACCAGCCAGAGTCTTGAGATAGTCATAACTCTCTTTGGTGCAAAGATTTCCAGTGCAGAGAATGTGCTGAATCTTTCCTGGCACCAGGAGTTTTTTGAATTTAGCTGGCAAACTGTTGCACCGGTGGGGAATATGCAGATCTCCTAATACCAACACCAACTTTAAAGTGTCAAGGAGATAAGGCATAATATTAAACATGATGTCAAAACAACATTATCCTCCCATGATTCTCCTTTTAAATTAAACTTATAACAGATTTCAGAACCCAATAAAATAGAAGTTAGTCATACAGTTCCTATCATGATCATTAAACAAACATACATATGGTAATATACTCTGTTCTAAATCAATCTTACTTTGGATATAAACAACTGTGCATGTACTATAGAGGTAATCATACTCATTTACCAAACTGATTCATTTAAAGAACTATAAATTATGCTAAATAAAATCACAAAATGAAAAAGTATACTACTGGGTCCTATGGAATTTTTTTGTGTGTGTGATACTGGTGTTTGAACTCAGGGCCTACACCTTGAGCCACTCCACCAGCCCTTTTTGGAGATAGTGTCTCTCAAACTATTTGCCTGGGTTGGCTTCAAACTGCCATCCTCCTGATGTTTGCCTCCTGAGTAGCTAGGATCACAGGCATGAGCCATCAGTGCCTGGTTGGAATTTTTTTTTTGGTGGTGGTGGTACTGGGCTTGAATTCAGGACCTCCTAATACTTGAGCCATGCCCACAGCCTTTTATGCTTTGGATTTTTTTTTTTTTTTTTTATGGTGGCAATGGTATGCTTTGGATATTTTTGAGACAGGCTCTTGCATTTGTGCCTGGGCTGGCCTGGTGATCCTCTATTTACGCTTCCCACATATGTGGGATGACAGGCACATGCCACTATGCCTAGGTTTTATTGGTTGGAATGGGATCTTGAAAACTTTTTGCCCAGACTGGCGTTGAACCACAATTCTTCTGATCTCTGCCTCCCGAGGAGCTAGGATTACAGGTGTTAGTCAACATGCCCAGTGGAATCTGGCATTTTTGAAGACTGATATAGTAATTCATATTTCTGCACTTGTAATATAAAACCCATATAATTGTAAAAACATTATTAAGGGGAATTATTAAAAATTAATGATAGAGAAAAAAGTTAACTCTATAATTTATGATTACTAGACTGTCAACTATTTGGGAGAATAGCAGCCAATATTTACCACTTTTTTTTTTTACTTCAAATTATTAGCTATACATTATAGGGGTATAAAGGCATATGTTTCAATAGATAAATATGTGATTTTTAATTACAGTTTTTGACATTTTCACTTTCCTTCATTAGAAATCCTCATTGTCATATTTTTATTACTGGGATTGAATTATCTGTATAGGTCACAAACTTAAAAAAATGTTTTCACAATCTTTCATGTGTATTACAGCATTAAAATAAAAAAGAAAGGTCAGTTAAATGATGACTAGCAGGAGATGGTTTAGAGCTGCAACATAGTCTCAGATGACAATAAAATTTGCTCTTAATACAAAAATGCAATCTTGTAAAATTTTAATTTTTAGGATTTCAAGATTTGACAAATTATTTAAATTTATTCATTTAACAGAATATTATTAAAAGGGCTATTTAAAAATAGTATCTATCCTCCAAAGGACAACAGAATTAACTTTTTCATGCTGACCAGTATAAGCACCTCCTTCTACACAGGACTCTTTTCACACAGACATCCCGCTTGCAAATGCATACACTTTTCAACTGCTTGTCAAGGCGTGACGTCATTAATATTATCAAAGAAAACATTAAATATCTAATGGAACAAAATAGTTTTTCCAGCACAGACTTTGTAACTAAAGTTAATAAAAAATACATTATATGTGAAATTAAAATGATTACTAAAACAAGCTTGATTTATCTGGCAACAAAAATTTAAATGATTGCAAAGAAAAAGAACTGTTATTAGACACAGAGTAACCAAAATCAGCACTCATTAAAAGAAATTGTTAAATTTGAGTTTCTTCTTTATAAAGAATAGTTTCAGTTAATATTTATTCAATGACCATATTAATTGTTTCAATGAAGATCTTGGTGGACAAAACAGTTGTAAAACTAAAAACCACTATGAAGTATCCACCCTCATTGATAATCAATATAAAAGTACCTTCATAGAGAACAATCTTCATTTTAGAGGGGGATCCCTTCAGATATAGTTTGAAATACATATTGTGAGAAGCTGGCATTTGAAAAAAGGTTAAAAATAGATTGCTATATTAAAAAAAAACAAGTTCATAAAAAAGTGTGCATCTGTAACAAGTTGAAAATACTTGGGACTAAAAATGAATGAGCTGTTCAACTGGAAAGTACCAGAAAGAATGAGACATGGTACGTTAGGATTAATGACCTAAATTCTACAAAGTACCATGCTTTATTTCCAAGTACACCCAAGACTATTAACAGTCTAAAGCTATAAGTATATAAATGACCACAGAAATAATTTCCTATGAATTAAGGATCCTTAGTAGGACAAAATCTGGTTTCCTGCTGGTGATTAGGTTATAAGAGAACTAGTGTTACAAAACATTTGTTGAGGAGTGTCCCTGCTCAAATCACACACGTTGACAAATCAGGTTAGTCATAGATTGCAGAGTCCTTTAAGACAGCAAAAGATCCTGAAAATGGCAGTCTTGTTAAATTCATATAAAGAGACAATCCAAATAAAGCATGGAAATCTGGTTACTTCCTACTTGATAGATCTTAAAAGGCTGAGAAACCCAGTCAGTAACTAGCCACCCAACCACCATTGTTAGTAGGAGCTAAGAGAAGGAACTTACTCTGTGCCCAGCCTTAGTGGAATGAAGAAGTTGATTGCAGACAGGGGAATGAAAAAAAAAAAAAGGGTGAAATATGACCAATGTTAAAAGAAAGCAACAAAAAGAAACAAACCAAAAAAAAGAACGAAAAATCCATACCAAATTAATATGCAAAAAATTGTTAATGATTTCTGAGTGTTATGAAAGAAAATGTTAAAAATACCAAAAGAGCCATTTGCTGTATTTTTAAATATGACACACACATAAGTTTGCCTTGCCAATTTCTTTTTACTTTTCCTCATCTTGTTCTCCACACTGACTCCCATCCATTTTGTTTTCCATTTGGTTTAGATTTTTATAAGATTACATGAAGTAATTAATTTAAATTTTTACAAGATAATTTGAAAAATTCATCAGCTATTGCTTAAAGGCTAGTATTTTTGGATTCTTGGAGTCTAATTACCCCCCACTTATATTGATTTTAATTCTTTTATGTTCAAAGTTCTAGTAATGAAACTATGCTGTAGCTACATCATAATTTGTTGTAGAAGATGTACTATAACACCATGAATACATTATCAAGTGTTGAAAATGTCAACTAAAGATGGAGATAAAGATAATAAAAACTGACTGTGAGGGCGATCTGGCTGTGACCTTGGTCATCCCACTGATCACCAGGGTTGACTGGACTGATCTGGTTGACTAGGCATTGTTCCCTTTCTCCCTCACTACTCCAGGTGTGACCCTCCTGAAGCTGCACAGTTGTGGGTGGAAGAGGACGACCTTCCCAGACAGAGGAGAACCATTCTTCTGTCAAGGATGTACAAGTAGCTGTGCCTTGCTGCTGGAAACTCCAAATAATTTCTCAAGATAATAAAAACTAACATATTCCTAGCTAAAACTGGGCCTTTCCCACATCTATTTATTGCCTCTCATAGACTTAGGACACTGTGCAGAATGCTGAATGCCTCTCTCCTTTACCAAATAAAACTGGCCAATGATAAAAGTTTGCACAGTTCTTTTTCATATGAAAAGTGATATTCTAGTACAACCGCCCCCAAAGAGTGTTCACCTTCCAAAACAACTTAAGAAATATTAATATGGAATCACAGCAGGTATTTATTCTTTAGTGAGTGTCTAAAAATTACCATAAACTGTACTACCTAAGCTGAAGAACTTTTTAGAAGCAAAAATCAAAAAAAAAGAGAATGACTCCTTTAATGAAGTTAAAGCACCATAAATCTTTGGCTGTCGTGTTTATAAACCATCACTTGAAAGGTTATGCTTGCCAGAGAACAGTAATCATCTTAAAAATGCAATGGATACCTATCAGAAGGAGAAGTTCCTGGAATTTAGCCTCCATCAACAAAAACACCAAGACAATCAGAGCTCCTTTGAAAAGAGCTGACTTTTTTTTTTTTAATTCTCTGTCTTTGCAAAATTGGCTTTTGTGTACAAGAGCTGACTTTTTTTTTTTTTTTTAGTATAGCCCAGGCTGGCCTCAAACTCATGATCCTCCTGCCTCATCCTCTTCGCCTTGTTGATTACCAGCGTGCACCACCACAGCTGACTTTTTAATTGGGCCAAGGGCCTCGATAATCTGATTCCAGCTGTGCGCTCCCCAGATGTTACGCAGGAAGGTCTTAAGGGCAGCAACTTATTGGGGTTCTTAAGCAGGGTGAGGGAGACTGGGGAAGCCTGTAGAACTAAAGAGGCAGAGCTCCCTATAATACCCCTTGGAGTCAACACTGACGCTAGGACTAGCTTTATTTATTTATTTTTTTGACTGGGGTTTGAACTCAGAGCTTTGCGCTTGCAAAGTAAGAGCCACACCTCCAGTCCATTTTGCTCTGGTTATTTTGGAGATGAGGTCTCGAGAACTATTTGCCCAGAGTGGCCTCAAACCGCGATCCTCCTGATCTCAGCCTCCCAAGTAGCTGGGATTACAGGCGCGAACCACCGCGCCCGGCTTCATCCCAGCATCGCAGGCGCCCAGCGCTGCCCTCGTGGTGCCGGCCACTGTGTTTCAGTGGCAGCGGCGCGTTCTCTCCGAGGCCCCCTTCCCTGGGTGGCACACTCAAGCGAGGCGCGAATTGGGCCGCGGCTTCCCGTTTTGCATGGGGAGACCGGCTCTCCGCACACGGGCGTGGACAGCAGCGCACCCCAACCGGCGGGCGGTGCTTTACGCTGCACGGGCGTCGGGAAACGTCTGGAAAGCGGGCCGCCGCAGGCACAGGCCCAAAGGCCTTCCCCAGCCCGGGCGTGCAGATCTCGTGACCGCACGGGCGGCTGCGAGGAGCCCTGTCCCTCCGCGGACGTCCTCTGGACCCCGGGGCTAGGGGGCGACGCCAGGGCCGACCGCACCCAGAGGCGGCCGCTCCCCTTCTTCCCCGACCCCCCTCCGGGGCCTTCCCCAGGTCAGCGCTTTGGCCGCGCCCGCCAAGGCCTCTAGGATCCCCCAAACCCTCACCCCGAGACCCCTAACAATTCAGCACCCTGGCCGAGAGCCGGGCCTCGGTCGCCGCAGCGGCGGTGCTCACCATCCTGTCACTGGGCTCCGCTCAGTCACCACAAGCGCCGCCGCCCTCTTCCTCAGGCTCCTCGTAGACCCGCCCACTTTTCCCACAGCCAATGAAAAGCGAGGCCGATAGGAGACCTCTGTACGGCTGCTCGCACAGGCCATTTCCTGCCGGAAAGCGAAGCTGTACTTTGGGAATTAGTGGAGGCGGGGTGGGGATGGGAAGGATGACATTGAGAAGCTTGGAAAGCGCGGGCAACATCCGGGCACTTGGGTCCGTCGCGCTGAGGCGCGCCTTCTGACCCTGCCTTTCAGAGCCAGTAGCCATGCTGAAATGCACGATGAGCGGCAGCCAGGTGAAAGGTGGAGCGACCGTTCTTGCCTTTTGCGTGACCTCGGACAAGCCACTGAGTCAAGTGGAGGCTTAGTTTCCTCAACTGTAAAATGGCAATAATAATAGTAGCAGCCCTCATTGAAATGGAAAGAGCTCAGTAATTAAAAAAAAAGATGGTGGTTGGGGGTGCGGCTGGAGTGGTAGAGCACCTGCCTGGTAGGCCCTGAGTTCAAATCCCAGTACCGCCAAAAGAAAAAGGAAAGTTTGGGAACTATTTTTATGGTAAATGACCCTTTACAAGTGGAAGTTACACCAGGAACTTTTGCAGTGTGTACCTTATTTGTTGGGAGGGAATTATAATTTTGGAGCTATGGGATTTGAACTCAGGGCCTTGGTGCTTCAGCACTTGAACCACTCTCCCAGTACCTTAAATTTATTGTTTATTTAGGACAGCCTGTACTTGTAATTCTTAAGCATTATAATCTGATTTTATGTCCCGGAATTATTTTTCCATATGTATATATATATGTTTTGGGTTTTTTTTTT